CCAGATAGTTCCTTGAGGTAGAAGGTGATGGGCTCAGATTTTCCTCGGAACCTGTCAAGGGTCACGGTCTAGACCAGGGTCGCATATATAAGCTCCTCGAATTTCCTTTTCACCAAATTCACGGAGAAAGTGTCGAATCCCCCTCCAGAGATGACCATGGCAGCGGGGAATTTCTCCCATCTACTGTGGGTAAATAAGATCTCCTCGTCTTCGATGTCGTCGGGGATGTAGAAATCCTCGGGTCACGAAACGAGCAGGGAAACTTGGTGGGGGCCAGCTTCGTCAAAGGGGTGGGTATCCTCCTCGATCTCTTTCACCCCGCGAGTGTTATGGAGTGGTTCATCGTTCTTATTTTACTACCCAAGTCTCCCCACCTTGATGAGGGTCTCAATAGTATCCTTTAGGTGGACACTGTCCTCGGTAACATGTTTGTGGTTCTGGTAGTACTGACAGTATTTAGTCCTATCGACCCTGAGATTAGAGGGTGTGGGCTTAGGTCGACGGACCCCTCTATCCCTGAATTTAGCATTAGCACACTCGGAGAGGATGTGCTCACGAGGAGCGGTCAAAGGAGTGTACTCTGTAAAGCGCATGGTTTATCCTCTATGCTCGCGAGGGTCGTGAGGCTTTTCATCCCTTCTCTTACCTCAGGTCGTCAGGGTGATCCTGCATCATTGTGTCTCGGGGAACTGGGTGCTATGTGGTTCCTGGAGTCACAGACATTATTGGTGGCCTCCTTCTTCTTATACGTGATGTAAGCTCGGGATTTGTGAAGGAGATGATCGAATGACCTTGGGGCTTGATGCCAACTGCCTTATGAAAATTGCTACCCAGGAGAAGGCTTTTCTCGAGCAGATACCTTTTCATGCGGTAGTGGTGGGGACCTGAATGGCCTCGCGATTGAACCAATCAATGTGTGCTCAAAGAGATTCATCGATTCCCTGGATGATTGCTTCGAGGGACGACTCTCTCTTGGGTGATGCTGAGAAGCAGTAAGCTGCTAGCAAAATGGCTCTTCAGATTTCTCCATGAAGTGATGGATTCGGAGGCAAGGCCCTTGTAGAAGTCCATAATAGTTTTCCTCAAAGTCATGGGGAATAACCTGTACTTGATGGCGCCCCCGACATTGTGTAATTGAAGCACCACCTCGAAGGTGTCGACGTGGTCGTCAAGATCCGTCGAGCCATTGTAGCTGTTCAGAGGTGGAGGCTTCTCCATTCCCTTAGGGATATGAGCCTCCATAATAGCTTGGAATAGCGGACCGCGGGGGTCATCTTCATCGCTCTCCAGTTTGGGGACTGAGATGGGGAGAAGTCATAGCGGTTTATTTTGTGGCGTGGAGGACTCCTCTGCCGAGTTTTCTTCTTTTCTTTCCCCTTATCCTTTTCAGGAGCTAGGGAACACCGTCCTTTGCATAGAGGGGTATGGTCACGCTTCCCAGCGAGTTCCTGTTGGGTCCTCTCTAGTCGGGGGCGTCGCCCGGTACTAAAGAGAGAAGGACTGTGAGAATCTCCTTGTTGGCGTCTCTACAGAGGAGATCGTGAATATGGCTCTATTCGTCGAGGAGATGGGGTGCACGAGTCAGACCTCTTGTATCTTTTCGGGGACCTGTGGGTTTCTAGAATTATAAGGCATTCACCTTGTGCAAAGAGCATGTAGTTGGGCTGATTGGGCGTCGCAATCAGGGCCTAGGTTGAGGGGTCGGCATTAGCGGGCACTGGGATTTCCTGGTACACCACGGGTTGCTCGACCTTCTAGTGAGGGTTATCCAATGGATGTGGTCGAGTGAAAGAGGAAGCAGTTCTTCCATCTCTGAGGTCGTTCTTTTGGATGCCTACGTTGTTGTTGTTACTTAGGTCGACGAAGCGGGTGTTCTAGTCATCGTTGTTTGCTTGAGCGGCCATGATGATCGTGAGGTTGAAAGTTTGCTTTGATCTTCATTTAGTAAAAGATGGGGAAGTAGTATCCCATAGACATCGCCACTGATCATACCTGATCAGAAGGGATCACCGATAACCCACAAGCTGGAACTAGATGGTCGTTGAAGTGAAGTGTGTGTGTGGGAGGGGGGTACCTGCAAGACACTCTGATGCCAAAGTAAGGTTGGGGGTAAGTGTAAGTAACGAAAGTATGTGTAATGAATGAATACCTGATTCTCTCATGTGAGATAGTATTTATAGCCCCCAACGTTGGGCCAAGATCCACACATTGAGCCAAGCAATTAGGTCCAATAGCGAAGAATGTCAGGGTTACGTGAGTGATGAAGTCTAGCATGTGGCCTCCTCCCTGGTCAACTCCCCTGAGATGATAGGAATGTTGAATCCGTTATTCTCGGTGGACATGATAGTGGTTTAAGATAGTCGTTGACCATGTTTTCCTCGTGAGCACGTGGGGGACATCCTCAATAATTGATGACTTGGATTAAATGCTATTGAGTCATAGTAGATACTGGACTGGACCTGTTCAACGATGAATCAAATGCTAGCTCAACCCAAAACAATCACATTAATCCAACTCAATAGATAGAAGTATGAGAATGCGAGATGCGAATGCAAATATGAAATATATTACTTATTCATATTTAAAACATATGAAATTCTAAGTATTAGATTATGAAGCCAAAAATAAAAACTTTACCAATGGGTTATGATTGAGCATGGTATGAATAATGAGTATAAATTCTATATGCAATTTTGGGATTTGTTTCTACTAAAAGAGTAATTTTTATAATAATTTATCAAACAAGTGTAGTTTTCAATAAAATTAACTAGAATAAGCGGCAATAAAAATTTGATCAAACATAATTAACCACTACTTTGAATTGATGGACTAGAGCAAGATAAAATGTAACATAATGGAATAGAGTGAAGTAAGTATAGAGATTTTATTTTATTTGTGTATTTTTATAATTTGACATAACAAAATAAAATGAATTAGTTTATTTTATCATATACACTTCAAAATTAGAGAATGAAAATTGAATAATTTGATAAAATATATGCCTTATTTATTATTCACAAATTCAAACCCATAAAATTTGATTATATCACTCTATTTTATCTCATTCTATCAATTTAAAGGTGATTAAAAATTAAGGATAACACCAGTTTTTTTCTTCTTTCTGTTTTATTGGGTAATAGAAAATCATTTGGAGTGATATTTTTGTATGGTGAGATTTCAACCACTCAAACTTTTAATAGTACAAATTATTAATGATTCACTAGGGAGAATCAGATTCCATTTTATTGACAGACAATAATTTTTCGTAGATAGAAATAGAAAATATTGTACATAGTATCCATTTTTTTAGATTTTACGTACAAGTATTTGACAATGACGTTAAAAGTAATGTTGAAGGTGCTGATAATCCGAACTAAGGACTTATGACAAATTTAATCGATTACTAAAACCTAATTTAAATTAAAAAGATAAAATTGAAAAAAAGTTTCATCCACAATTTTACTATTAAAAGTATAATTAAAAGTATTTTAAGTTTGTATTTAAATGTATATATTTTCTCTTATATGCTTGTTGTTTTAGAGTGTTATGATAGAAGATTAAATATTTTGTTAGAATAGTGTCAAATGTATTGAGGTATTGCGGTGGTTGAGAATAGTGTATATGTTATAATAATTTTTATATAGTATTATTTTCGGATTTGATAACGGTTGTAATTTTTTTTCCGATTTTAAAATTTGTATGTTAATATTTTGTGTTCTTATTTTATTCTTCTTTTTCTCTATATTTTGATTTTTCAACAATATCAATATATCAAATAGGTTTAATTACGCTTTTGTTCTCTTTATTTTATTTGATTTACGAAATTAATCTTTTTTGTTTAAATTAAAATATTTTTTTTTACAAGAAAAAGATCAACTCATATCATTTATAATAATATTTTGAATACAAGTCAGAATTTCAATAAAATTATGAAAACTAGCAAAGGATAGAGTCACCCGAGGCAAACATGAGCGACTTCAATAGCTTGTCTCCTAATGAACTTGACATAACAGTTTGTAAAAAGAAGAGCCAACAAACAATTACATTCTCAAGTAATCACACTAAACTCTGAATTATTGGGTTTCAAGTTGTTCACATTATCCACCACACTTTTAGCATCTAACTCGAAATCTATGTTATCAAAACCAAGGGCGTGCACCCACTTAATAGATGTTAAGAGACCCATAGCCTCTCCAATATCAACAATTACTGGTTGGAGAAAATCATTCAGTTCTAGCAATGACAAAACACTCTTCAGCGTCTCTTATGCAAGCACTTACACCTACCTTATCCTGAAAAAAGTAAACATCGATATAAAATTTAAAACGATAATTACATTTAAAATGTACATTCTCTCATAATTTTACATTTAAAATTAACGATATTTTTATTTTTTAAATAACAATTTTTAAAAAAAAATATGACAAATCATCTTATATAAATTTATAATAAAATTTGGGTTAAATATGTTTTTAGTCCCTATAAAATTACCAAAAATGACTTTTAGTTTCTATAAAAAAATCGAGTTTTAGTCTGTATAAAATTACTTTTGCATGCAGTTTTAGTCCCTCTACAACGACTAAAACTGCGTGCAAAAGTAATTTTATAGGGACTAAAACTCGAATTTTTTTATAGGGACTAAAAGCCAAAATTGAGATATTTATAGGGACCAAAAACATATTTAACCCATAAAATTATAAGTTAAAAAAAATATTTCATCGATTTTCTATGAAAAAAATATAAACCAAAATTTAACATAACAAATATGATTGGTGCAGCGGTTAGAACAAAAAAAAAATTAGTATCAAATTGAAAAATAAATATCGAATATTAACCACCGTCAAATTCAAAAACCAATACCTAGAATAAACGTGTTAGTATCGACATATATAATATAACTCGTTTCACCATTACTTTCTTCTCTAGACTTCAAAATCTTAGAGAGAAAATGTTTGCTCTCTCTCTAACTTTCTGATTATTTTGTCTGGCTCTGGAGTATTATGGATTGGCAAAGAGCAATAAAGCTAGGGCTTAGGAACATTCAAGCAAGATGGGATGTTTTTCCGATTAGGAGGGGAGTGGAGGTAGTAGGGGTTCGTTGATTTCATCTTTTTTTCTTCTCTATGATTACATATCGTGTTAAAGCGGGGGATGTGTTTGAGTTATTTGGGTGTATAGGAGAGGTAGTAAAGGTGGTAATCTCACCCAGGAGGAACAAATTTGGGAAACGGTATGGCTTTGCAATATTTAAGGAGGTGGGGGATGAGAGGATCTTCGATATCAAGCTTGACAATGTTATATTTGATGCAAGGAAGATACATGCAAACTGCCCAAGGTTTGATCGGAAGAAGGGAGGTTTAGAGGCAAAGGTGAATATGCAGGTAAATCCTAGGGCGAAGTTGTCAGAGTATCCAGACAAGGGTGTTTTGACGGACGTTGGTACTGTTTTCAGAAATGGTAGCAATTTTTTTGCCAACGTTATTGCTAATAAGGGGAGGATCATTTCAGAAGAACATGGAAAGAATTATGTATATGAACTGAGATATGTTTCGAACAAATAGGAGCTTCACAATTGAGGAAAGCCTGTGTAGTATAAGTTTCTGTGTCTGGAATGGCGTATAATATTCAAACAAGTTTAGAGATGGAGGGTTACTTTTCCATTAAAGTGTCTCCTCTTGGAGCTAACCTGTCCTTGTTGGAAGAAATGTAAGAGGGAGTCATCTATGATCTAATTAATGAAGGAAGGGTGTTGTACCCCAAAATTTACCCTCTCATTTATCAAGACTTTTCTCACAAGATCTCTTTGACTCAAGACTAGATTAGGGTTTGACCAGCTCAAGACATCTTATCATGCACTGATGGTCCAAAATTAGGGTTTGGGATTGCACAAGGGTTTTTGGACTATCAATGTTTCATATGGCTTTCAAGTATCATTATGGACTCCTAAGATTACTCATGTCAAGTTTCAAGCCTTGAGTCACATTTTTGATCAGTCAATTGGACAGTTGACCTAAAAATCAGTTGTATTGGGGGAAAAGTCAACCATGGCCAGTTTACAGTCAAACTTCGTTATTTTGGATCCACATAAACATTTTGGACTCATATGTATCATTTTATCAAGTTTGGACCACAATTCCTCAAGAAATTTGATCAAATCATCAAAAGGGCAAAATGGTCAAAATTAGGGTTTTGACTGAGAAAGGGCAATTTCTGATTTCTTGACCTAGAAAATGACCAATTGGTTGGAAGCATGATTCCAAGGGTTCAATTGCATCATCTTGACCTAATGACATGGTTCAAAACATTGCAATTCCATTGAATTGACAGATAAATTTTGCAGTTAACTGATCAAAAGTCAATTGTATAGTGAAAAGTCAAACTTTGACTTTTTTTGGGTCAAAATCAAGTGCCAAGGATCATAATTCATCAAAACATGTCAAAATGTGAAACTTGTTCATCAAGAAATCAAAGATTGAAGATTTTGTTTTGAAATTTGAAATTTTCTTAACTTCAAATTTTTTCTAAGTATAGAAAATTTCTTTTTTTCTTCTCAACTTTAAGCCAAATTTTTACTATGATACAAGATGATTCAAAGAAAGTTCCCAACATGAAAGTTGTAGATCTCTATGAAATATACAACTTTTCTTCACACATTTTTCCCTAAAGATGCTTGTATCTCAAGATATAATTTTGTGAATACATGCCCATGAACTAAAATAACTTAGTGAAATTTTGCCCTAATTTAGGCAAGTTTTTGACCTAACTTCATGGCAACTTTTCACCTAGTTCCAAGAGGAATATTGAAAAGCATTTCAAATATGAGTTATAGAGCACATTGAAAGCTTTCCAAAATGTCCAATAACTCCTTGAGATCATTCTTGAGTAGGGAGAATCGAAGAGATGAAGTTGGCAATTTCTCACTTTGATTTCAAGCCATTTCATGAAGAACAAAATTCAAATCCTCAAAGCATGTTGTACAATCTTCACTTTTCAGGCCTCAAACTCGTTTGTCACTCCACCATTAATTAATTGCACAAGGTTTCATGCCCTAAAGCCAAGCATTCAATGCTTTGTACATGAACAATTCCATTTTTGGCACAAAGGTGCCATTTCCATTTTGATAAAGCATAACTTTTGCAACTTTTCACTCCTTGAGCCTTGCACTTGTTTTTCTGCACACACAAGTCCTATAAACCAAAAGCAAAGTGCTTTAGACTTGTACCAACTCAAACCAGGTCTGTACAAGCATGTAGAGAGTTGTCTCCTCACCTTTCTTAAAATGCAAGTAATAGAGCAAAAGGCATATAACTCAGAAATCTGTTGTGGAATGGATTTGAAACCTTCTCTATACTTATACACAACACATTACAACCTAACACACGATTGCTAAAGGCCAGAAACTCTCCCAAACTCTCTATCACCAAAAACCTGCCATAACTTACAGTTTTGTACCAAGCATAGCAATCCAAAAATCCACTTGTGTGTTTCAAGTTCTAATCACCTAAACACTTAACCTACATCATATCTAAGTGTTCCAGACCATCATCCCTTCACTGTAACTCCTCCTTCTCCATCTGCCATTTTTGTTTTTCAAGCTTGAAGGTTGACTTGGATAGGGGGATTCAGGCACTTTCAAGACAAGGTAAAGATTGGAACATACTCAGGGAGGTCCAGACAAGCTAAAGGGATCTTCAGGCCTTCATAAAACTCAATCAAACTCCATTCACAATCTCAGCTAAAAGAGGTAAGAACTCTAACTTCTATCTCTTCATACAGGCATCCTTTGGTCTCGATTTGTGAAGATAAAATGTAGATATCTTTGTGCTAAAACCAACCATGTCCATAGATTTCATTTATATTCATTGTGTATAGAGAATTTTAGATTTCAAATTTCCGTAAAAAAATTAGGGTTGAAATTAGGGCCATTGAAATTATCTTTGATCTTTGACTGTTAGTTTACATGAGTTACATGGTTGAAATCGTGGGAAAGAGTCTTACCATTTTCATGTTTGAAGTTTCCATTTTCATGGAGAAATGAGAAAGATACAGGAGGTCCGACTAGCTTGAGGAAGAAGATGAAGTACAGGGTAAGGAGGCACTATGTGTTATGTGTTTCTTGTTTCATTTGAACTAACGGATGTACAACCACCCCAGTGGCAAGGCAGCACGCTGAAAATACATAGGTCATGGGTTCGAACCTTGGCGCTACCTTTTGCACTTTTCTTATTTTTCAGCTTCTTTTTTTGATATTTTTTGCAGCGTGGGCTCAGCAACTGGGCCTCATATTTTTTTCTAACACACTACCTCCTGATTTGCTCAAGACACCCCTGGCCCAATCATTTTATTATTTATTTTTATTTTCATTTTCAGTTTATTAAATATATTTTCTTTAACATAAAAAATTATAAAAAAATATAAAACATGATAAATATTGCATTTTGTTTATTTTATTTTATTTTCACATAAAAAATATTTTTAATTAAATTATACATTAACTATTTTTCTTAAATAAACTTGTAAAATAAAATAGACTTAGATTAATTTTTATTCCTTTTCCTTCATACTTGTAAGTATTTATTTTGACATATAAAAAGACTAAATATTTTCATAAATATTATTTATTATTTTAAGACAAAAATACACAAAAATAATACTTAAAGAACTTTATTTTCTTTTAACAAATTAGAAATTAGGATTAACCAATTTCTAAAAATAACTTCCTTTTCTTAAACTATTAGGTTTAGTTCAAAAATTCTTTTTCATATAAAAAACAAAACAAAAATCTTTTTTTTGCATATACATACCATTGCATATTTAATTTATATTGTATATTATTTATTCAAATATTTGTACAAATTCGATTTGGTTGTAATAGCTTAATTAGATTTACATTATTGCAAATCCCCATTTATAATTTGTATACCCCCTCCCATAAAAAGTTGTAATAGTGCAGTAATCTTTAAATTACGCAATTTATCGCTTTTACATAACATGCTAGTAATTAGGGTTTGTATGGCAAGATGAAAACAATCAAATAGAAAACCCTAATCCAAGAAAAAATCAAGCATGAAAATAACACACTTGCACACAAACACCCTTAGGGTTACTCCATTTGGTTGCCTTACACAAAAAATGGCCATATTACGCATACGAAGTATCTTGGAAAAACAAACAAATATAAGATATAGTCCCTCGATGACGCTATTCAATGTTGCCTTACAAAATGATCTTAGTCCCTCAAAAATGCTAAGATACTTTGCAACATTTCTAATCATGGTTACACGATGACCCGCGCCCGTCCCGTTTACATCCAAAGATAGGGTTGCTTACCAAATCAATGGTAAGACAACAATATCAAAAGAAAAGGAAATGAACAAGAAAGACAATTTGAGTAGGTAGATTACTTCTAGTTACTTGCTCCATTTCAAACAACTATCCTTGCTATTTTAAAAAACAAACACACACACATTTCCAAACATCTTACAAACATTAAAAACATTTTCAAAAAGAGAAACATCTTTGTATACATTCTTACGAACGAGAATCATTACAAAGTTTGTCTAAACAATGGCCTCTTTTACAAAATACTTTCAAAACCACACAAAGCATAATTTAAAAACAAAAGCAAGCGATCTAGCAAGTAACTAAGATCCCATGGAAAACCATGGATGAAAAGGGTGCTAACACCTTCCCTTTTCATAATCTACCCCCCGAACTCAAGAAACAATCTCAAAGGTCTTTCCTGTGCTTTTTCACCTTTCCTTTTGGATAAAAGAAAAGTCGGTGGTGACTCTTGCTAAACTGCAACATTTGCAATAAAACGCAAAACACCCAAGTCAGTTCTCCCACCGTATCACAAAGGGATTAGTGGTCGCAATAGTTTTCTAATATCAGATTTTGGAAGGAGGAGGACATTGACAAGGAAAGAGTTACTTGGCTAAGGATTTCTGGGATTCCTTGCCATACGTGGAACTTTTCTTTCTTCGAGTTGATCGCGAGTAAAGTGGGAAAGTATGTCTGTTGTGACGAAAATACATTAAAATCAGTTAATATGGATATCGTGAGGGTTCTTATTAGAACTACTTGTGCATCAATACTGAAGGAGTCTTTTAATGTGAATATTGATGACATGTTGTTTCTTATTCAAATTTCTGAGGATTTTCATGGCCCTTTTAGAATCAATTTGACTCAGAAGAATGGTACTTCGGTGATTTCAGACTCATCTTCTTTGGATTCGAAGCTGCCTTGGAACATACATGAAAATGAGAATGAGGAAGAAGAGATGGGGGAGTTTACTTCATTATCCTATGGTTCTTGCAATGAGGCTGCTCAATTTTCTATGAGCAAGGGAGGGGTCAAATCTGCTTCAGTGGAAAAGGAGGATTTAGATAAAGTTGGAACTAAGGATCCTAATAAAGTGGAAAAAGTGCAAAATTATGGATGTTTTGATGATGCCCTAGTGGCTACTAGAGAGGTGGGTCCATAAAATAGATCAAAAGATGGGGTCGTTCAGACTGCTTTAATTTGTCCAGAAGTTTTTAAAATAGTAGACATCTTTTCT